GCGCCCCCAGCCGGCTCCTGAGGACTTCGGATTAAAATAGGCCAGTTCTGACGCTGCAGGCTAGTGCAGAACTCCAGCTCTAATTCCTGGCTCCTATGGGCCCCACTTTCTCCAGGTTCCAGATGCGCTCCAGCTTGCGTCGGGGGCACGTGGGGCCGAAGGGATGGCGAGGTCCCTGCGCTCCGGCTTTCACGCGCTTCTCTGTGTCCCTGTCCTTGGGCCACAGTGGCGAGTTCGCCAGAGCTCGGGCTGGACTGCGGCTCTTGCCTGAAGAGCCAGGATGGCTGGCTGCCTGCGGCCCAGCCAGACCCCAGGCTTCGGCGGTGCAGGGCCCAGCAGTGCAGGCTGCGCGAGTCCTCCGAGGTCGTGCTCCTCGTGGGCCTCCCTCTCCAGGTGAGGACCTGCGTGCTCCTGGGCGCAGTGGTGACCAGCCCTGTGGATGGCCGATTCAAGATGGCGAGAAGGTGGCACCCCCTGGGCTGGCTCGGGCTCCGCATGGGCATTGATTTGGTCTTGAGGTCTCTCTCAGATTTTACATTTCAGTGTGTGATCCATTTCCACGGATTATTTTACAGAAGGTGTAGAACAGGTGTTAAAGTTTGCTCTTTAAAAAGAGATATAATGTCCAGTACGCACAGCACAAGTTTTTTAAGAAGACCAGTGTTGCCTCCTTGAGTTGCCTTGGCACTTTTGCTACCAACTTCGATCTATTCCCCTGTCCACCCTCCACCCCTACAAGCTCTTCTTCACTTTTATGGCACAAAGACATCGGGTATTGTGGTTCCTTTCACTTTTTTCTTTGTTGCCAAATTATTTTGGTTACCCTCCCCACCTTCTCCTTCTCAGCAGATCACCTTTCTGAATAGAATGTCTTCTATATCTTTTTTTTCTGATGTTGAAGCTAAAATTTTTATTACAATATAGAATGAACAGTGCGAATGAACAGTCACCCTTTCCCTGTTATTAGGAGGAAGTCAGTCAGTCTTGATTTATTAAGTATAATGCTGGCTTTCAGTTTTATTGTGAATAACCTTCATCAGATTAACAATCTGTTTTATTCATAATCCCCAGAGAGATTTTTTGTTTTTAATCTTGAATGGATGTTGAATCTTGTCAAAAGCTTTTTCTGTATCTTTTAAGATGATTGTCTTGCAGCTCTTACAGTGTTCCTAGTTTGGGTTAATTATGCTGAATAAAAAAGGTTTTACCACCTTTTCCTTCCAGGCATCAACATCACTTGATAACAGTGTACTTGTTGTATGACACTAGATTTGACAGAATGTTTTGTTCATGTTTATGAAAGATGTTGGGATGCAGTGTTCTTTTAGTGTCTTTTCCTGGCATTGCCATCTGTGCATTAATAGACATAGAAAGTAAGCTAGAGTTGTCCCCATGCCTTCTATTTGCTGAAATTGTGTAAATTTTGCTTTTTATTCTTCCTTTAATGTTTAGTACAATTTGCCAATAAGAACATTAAAACATTTTCCTTGGAGGATTTCAAAGTGTAAACATGGTTTTCTTAATAGATACATGGATGTTTATTTAGTGTTTTGTTTGAGTTTGGGAGTTCATGGCTTGCAAAGAATTGATCCAGTTAATCTAATATTGGAAGTGATAGGTATGGAGCTCTTTGTAATATTCTTTTCTTATCCTTCCATTTTTTCAAGTGTTTATAGTCATTTCCCCTTGTTCCTTCCTGATATTAGCAATTTTTGCCTTGTCGCCTTTTTTCTTCATCAGTATTTCATAAAGTTTATTGATTGACTTTTTTTAGTGCTGTTATTGAATTGTCATTTCTTAAAAATCCACATTGTCCAGTGTTTTAACTGATTATCTGACTCAGCTCTGAATTTGTAAATGGTATTCCGTGCTCATGAATAATCAATATTTCTGCTTCCCTTTATTATCACACATTATATGTCTACATGATCTAAAAATTCATGAAATAATCTAACATATGCTCTCGGTTTTTCAGGTGATAATTCTTTTAAAATACCTGACTAGAAATATTTCATTAGGTACTTCTATTTATGAAGCTTGCATTAAAGCATGTATGTGTGTTCTATAATAGTAAGTTGTCACCAATTTTTAGCATAGTTTTTATTTATGGATGTCTTAATTCTGGAGAAATATTGTTTACTTGAAGGAGCGAAGAACATTTGGACTCCTTTGGAACTCATCTTTCAGTACTGGTGTGGATACTTGTTCTTAATTAAAACCTTAAAATAGAATGACCCTGAATCTACTTTAATTGTGAAATTATGTAAAACCTTGTTTCTACATGCCTGAAGAGAAAAAGGAATATGCCCACTAATGTTTAGTGGCTGGACTCTTTTCCTATAATCTAGCTATTCTGGCATGAAGATGAAACAATGTGTGAGACATATAGCTACCCCAGTCAATTCAGAGAAAATACCTAATCTCCATCAAAGCTCTCTGAATAGACTGATAAAATATTCTACCACTTTGGCAATATTTTATCCTTTACTAGCCAGGGAAGAGCTAATCAACTATTGAAGAATTTCAGTAATCCGTCCATGTATGAGGAACCCCATGACAAAAATGATAGCCAATATACCTATAGAGATCATCATGTGCCAAAAACATTTCCATACTTGGCATATATACTTCATCTTGTTTCCCATATAATATCCCCAGAATCTAAGTAATACAAACAGCCATATTTATAAATTTTAGGACCAGAACTTAGCCTTATAAACCCATCAAGGTCACACTCATAGTGAATGGCAGATCACAGATGTGAATTTATGTAGTCTTAATTTAGAGTCTGCACTTTGTAACCTTTGCTCTGCTCATATATTAAAATATTTAGTCTGACAGTAAATGTAAAAGAATAAAGATAGCACTTAAATAAAATAGCTCTGTGCACAACCAATCCATTGAGTTTCTTTGCTTGTGAGGGTCTTATTTTCGCTCAAAGATAATCTTCCTCCTTCAAACTCACCAAACTCATGGAGCTGTCCCATCTGCCCAACATGTAATAAAGATGATGCAGATCAAATCTAATTAAGATATCACCTTTGCTCCTGAAATACTAAAGAATAAGGTAAGAATTGGGAAATATTTCCTCTACTATGGAGCAATTTATAAAGTACATAAAAGCTTATGTACTATGGAAGTCCAGCAATGATATAGGTGACCTGGCTGTGACTGGGAGGTGGTTGAGCCAGAGTTGAGTACCTACTTGAGGTGTGAGGTACTGAGTATTGAAGGGGAGAAAGAAGCAATTAGGCCTCATTTTGTTTTGTGTGTGGTAATTGGGATTTAACCCAGGGGTGCTGTACCATTGAACTACATCTCCAGCCCATAAAAATTTTAATTTATTTTAAATTTATTTTTATTTCACTGATTTTTCAGGCTGGGGTCAAGGTTGAAATCCTCCTCCCTTAGCCTCTGGACTAGCTAGGATTGTAGGTGTGCACTATTGTATCAGGCTGATCCACTACTTTAATTATGATAATAAAGTTGGCAGAGATTGATGAAAGGGTTAATATTTGTGATAAAAAAACTTTTCATTATTTTTCTCTTCACATATTTACTCTGTATATCTTTTTTTTCAGAAGATATATTAAAACAAATTATATAGCATTACTGACACAAGAAACATTTTATTTGAAGTTGGCATCAAAATCTCAACGAACACAGCCTTATCTTCTTCCAAGATTTCATGTTTTTTTAGAACACAAGTCCAAGCCCACTGACGTGCACATTGGTGTCTTGGCCCTAATCCTCCTACTGGTGTTGCTAAGCATGCAGTCCAGAGCTCCAGACGTTTTTTAGTCTCAGGATTTGGGGATAGGATGGCATCCCATGTGTAAATCAATTCTATACTTGTACAGGTTGATGAAGGAACTCAAAATTCCAGTGACACCCTTCACAGAAATTTTAAGACACTTCTAAAATTTGAATGGTACAAAAGATCCTGCATAGTTCAAATGATTTTAAGCAACAAGAAAAATGTGGAGACATCATATTGACTTCAAAATACATTACCAAGCTGTAATAATCAAAACAGCATGGTACTACAATAAAAGCTGACATATAGATCAACAGAACAAGATAGAAGGCCCAGAAAAATCCACAAATATTTAAAGTTACTTGGCTTTTGACAGAGGTGTCAATAACATAATGGGCAAAGGACAATCTCTTTGATAAATGGTATTGAAGAGAGTTGATATCCACATGCAGAGGAATGAAATTACTTGTCATACTATATAGAAAAATCAACTCAAAAGGGACTAAAGACATAAAGGTAAGACTGAAACTATAAAATTTCCACCAAAAGGGAAATTTCCATGTTATTGTTATTGGGAATGAGTTTTTGGGGGGATATGTACTCAATAGGAGAGGCAATAAAAGAAAAAAATAGACAAATGGGATTACACCAAACTAAAAGGCTTCTGCACAGATAAGGAATCAATCAAAAGAGTGAAAAGACAGACCCCAGAATTTGAGAGCACGTTTCCAAACTAAACAATTATCAAGGGATTTTTGCCTAAAAATATATAAGGCAAAAATGCAAAAGAGTGGATAACCTGCTTCAAAAATAGCAAAGGATCTGAGCAGCTATTTCTCAAGGAAGGTACACAATTGGCCGACAAGTATGTGAAAAAAACGCTGAGCATTATTAATTAGAGATATCACATCGCACATGTTAGAATGGCTTTAATCAGAAAGATAAAAGATGAATGTTAGCAGGGATACGAAAAAAGAAAGCCCTTGCACGTTACACTATTGGTAGCAGTGTATTTTAGTACAGAAAACAGGATGGAGATTCCTCAAAAAAATTAAAACCAGAACTACCTCTGACGGCACAGGACTCTGGCTGGGAGGCTACTTCACTGAGAGGCTCACACACTTTGAGGTGCACTGGAGGGGGCCACTTTCTGGGGGCGGTCACGTGGGATGGAGCCCTCGTCCGGCCACTCCCCTTCTCCTGTTCCCAAGCCTCCTCCCCCGGTGGGTGAGATGCCCTCCTATCACTGACGCACAGGCGCCCTGACGCACCATTGCCAACGCAAAGCGCGGGCGGAGACACGAAGCGGCAGCTAACTGCTCAGGCTTGGCATTGCCTGGACCCTGGAGTGTGTCTGCTTCCAGCGGCGAGGCGAAGTCCGAGGGTCGTGGCACGGGTGCAGGGGAGAGCCGCTCCCTCCTCCCCGACTGCGCACAGAGACTGCGGGGCCGCCCCCTTTGTGGCAGAGACTCAGGTGGGGAGCAAAGTCTCTGGCACAGGAGGCTCGGGCCCTGAGGCGTGGGGGTCGGACCGACCCGCGCTGGGGAGGGGGCTCCTGGAGCTGCAGATCCTTCTCCCAGTGCGCAGCCGCCGCCGCGGGGAGGTAGGGTCCGCGGTCAGCGGTCAGGGTCAGGGTCTGGAGGGATGTGACCCTCCTGAGAAGGGCCCAAGGGGCGAGCGCAGAGGAGGGGGCACCGGGCCTGTAACCTTCCGAGTTCCAGGCTTCTTTGCCCAGGCAGAGAAGGTTGACCTGACAGGTGCCCAAGATGGGGTCTGCCCCCTGAGGCCAGCCAGCTCCAAGGCCCCAGCAAGTGTGGGGAGCGCACCGTCATCCCTGGTCCTGTGGCTCCTAGAGGACTTTGATGTTGGGCATGGTAGGCAAGTAGGCAGCCTGAGTGATTGACAACTAGATGGGTGTGAGCTGCGACCTCTGGTTAGGGGTGGCCTGGACCTTCAAGTTGCCCTCTGTCTGCTCAGGCCCCAGGTGCCCTCCTCCGAGCTCCCTTTCCTGGTCTGTCCAAGAGGATCAGAGGGCAGGTGGTTTTCCAGATGAGGCTGCATACTCCGGGTCAACCCTCACTGGCTCACCTGGCCTGAGGATCCCTTTGTTATTTTTCCAATTTTGTAAAGCAACTTTGAACACAGTTGGTTCACCCCTTGGTATGCGCCAAGAGAAGCACTTAGGAGTCGAAAAAGTGGAGAAAGTTTTATTTTGCAGCAAGCAAGGAAGCACCTGGGATACCTGCCTAAGTAGTATGCCCCAAACTAAGGAAAGCAGGGGACTGTGTTGGGGCCACCTGTGCCTGTTCACATTGGAGAGACTTGTTATGGCATGTAGAGGGATGTGCAGTTGGAGGTCATACTTCCTCATACAATTTGTGATACAGGAGTGGGGTGGAGCACCTGTGGGGTGAAAAATTTAGCGTTATGAGGACATTATAGTGAGCAAAGTTTAGTCGAGGTCACTTAGGAGAGGGCCAGATGGCTCTGGCCGGTTTAAGCCTGTTTTCTGTGGTCTCTGCTGGACAGCCTTATCTGAAATAAAGAAACAGGTTGAAGGGATAGTAACAGTCCCTAGCGCCCACCCCCACCCCGTGAGCACAGGCGCTTCACCATGTAATTTCCTGCCTAGCTGCTAGCAACCAACCTTGTTGATTGCGTCCTCCAAAGAAGGCTGGACCCCAGTCCTTAACTTCTGGATTCCTTGGGGTCGCTGCCTTCCTCTTAGCCTATTCTCACCAACTACCTGGCAGCACCTCCCCTGCCTGAGTTATGGAGTGCTTGCATAGCCTCCAAACTCAGGCTCTGCGCCCCATCTCAGGCTCTCACCTGACCTGGGATCACGTAGGGTGGTCGGCGTCAGAAAGAAGTCTGAATTGGACGGCTGTTCCCTGGGGAAGCTCCAGTGTCCTCTGTGTGAGTTTTGGTATTTCAGAGTGTTAATCACTTTCATGCATGTTTCAAAAATGATAGACTTTAATTTCTGGTTAGAGGCGTCTCAATTTGTTGACTTTAAAGAACATGATTGTGGTTTCATTGATTTATCTTTTGATATTCTGTTTCAACTCCCTAATTTCTGTACTGATTTTATGATTTATTTTCCTGTGTTTACTTTGGATTTTATTTGCTCCTTGCTTTCTAACTTCCAGAGGTGGACATTTAAATTTTTGGTTTTATATCTTTCTTCCTTTCCAATATATTCCTTCAGTGCCATGAGGTTCATTATAGGCACTGATTTTGCTATATAACCACGAATTTTGTTGAGTTGGTTTTCCATTTTCTATTAGTTCAGGATACTTTTAAGTGTCTTGACATTTCTTCTTGATCCATGTATTATTTAGAATTATGTTGTATAACCTGCAATTTATTTGGAATTTCCCATTATCTTTATGTTCTAGGTTTCTAACTTCATTCCATTCAAATTCCAGAGTGTGCACAGTATAAGCTCTGTTGTGAAGAGTCATGAAAGGCATATTTAATGACCCCAATGTTAGACCATGTTTGATTGTGGTGAATGTTGCTTGTAAACTAGGGAAGAACATGCATTCTTCCCTTGTTGGATAAAGTAGTGTATAAATGGCAATTAGATCCAGTTGATCCATTGTGCTGGTGAATTCAGCTCTCTCTTTTCTGTCTGCTGGATTTGCTCATTCCTGAGTGAGGGATGACGTCTTCAAGGATTGTATAAATGGGTGTATTTCTCATTAAAGTTCTGTCAGTTTTTGCTTGATGCACATTGATGATCTGTTAGGTACATACATATTAAGGACAGTGAAAACTTCTTGCGAGAATGAACCCCATCATCCTTATGTGATGACTCTCTTCGTCTCTGATATTTTCCTTGCTCTAAAATCGGTGTACATTAATATAGCTACCTCTACCCATTGCATAGTACATATTTCTCTACTCCTTTCATCTATGTGTCAGGTTTAAAGTAGTTTCACTGTAAACAGATTATCATTGGGTCTTCATTTTCAGTCCCTTAGGGCAGTCTCCATTTTAATGGTTTGTTTACGCTGCTGATTTTAAAGTGCTTATCATATTCCTGAGTTAATAGCTTTTTCTTCTTAGCTTGTACTTTTTCATTTTGTCTTCCATATTTTCCTCTACTATGTAGTATACTTAAGCACTTTATATGACTTCACTTAGTGTCATTTGTGGAAAATATGGTTTGACTAGTTGTGCTAGAGTTTGAAATATGCACTGAAACCATTGCAAGTCCACTTTCAAATAACAATATGCAATATTATAGGTAATACAGTTAGCTGCTGGTATTCCTAATTTTTCCCTCTTGTTCCTTATATCATTGTTGTCATTCATTTCCCTTACCCAAAGGTACGCTTACCAAATACAGTGTGGCCATTTTTACTTTGGACAACCTGGTTTTGATTAGATCAATTATGAACAAGAAAAATTAATTTTTTGGTCTTACCTTCACTCCATCCTTCTCTAACGGTCTTTCTTTATGTTGATCTGTATGTTTAGCTTACGTAATCTTCCTTCTTTCTGAAGACCTTATTTTAACATTTGCTGCAAGACAAGTCTACTGACAACAAATTTTCCTGTTTTTTTTCTGAGAAAGACTCATTTCTCATATCTTTTTATGAGATTTATTTATCAGTTACTCTACATCATCACTGAAAGTGCATACTTTACATGCAGTTTTACTCTTAGTCTTGTACATTCTGTGAGTTTTGACAAATGGATAATGACGTACATCCACCATCATAGTAGTATACAGAATAGTTTCCTTGTGAGGAGACGCATCTTCCCTCCCACCTTCCTTGTTCTTCCCTCTCTACTACCCCTAGCAACCATTGGTCCTATTACTGTGTCCAGGGCATGTCATATGGTTGGAATGATATGTACTGGCTCCATCTAATGCGATTTAAAGTTTTTCCATGTCTTCTCTTGGTTGAATAACTCTTTTCTTTTTTAGTGCTGAATCACATTCCATTGTCCATAGTTTATCTGTCCGTCTACCTGGTGAAGGACTTCTTAATCTTTTCTATTTCAGGCAATTATGAATAAAGCTACTATCAACTTTCATGTGCAGGTTTTTCTGTGGTTATAAAGTTTCCCATTCCTGAGTCACAATGCCTGACACCCATACACTTTTTTAATTTAAATTCTTTTATTGGTACATTTTAGGTATACAACACATTTACATTTCTCATTGGGAACTTGTACCTTTACATGATGCATCTTGGTTCTTATTTTTTCCCCATTCCTAGCCCTCCACCCTTCCCTATTTACA